CGGCTTTTCTTACAAGGAAGCCGGGCCGGTTAAGGAAATTAAGATCGGTTACTGGGTTTACGCGTCTTAGTCAATTTTGTGTACTCTTTTGTTGTAAGTTTTTTTTTCTGTTTTTTTTCTTGATTCGTTTATTTGAGGAGGGGGGCGGGGGTGGGGGTAGGGGGGAAGAAAGAGTGTTGTCGTGTTGAATAAAGGGTTTAGTTGTGTTTTTCTTTTTTTTTTCTTTTTTCTCTTTTCTTTTTTTCTCTCTCTCTTTTTTGTTTGTTTCTCTCTCTAACTTCCATTCTTTACTTCTTTTTTCTCTTTCTTTCTTTCTTTCTCTCGTCCTCACCCTCTCCCTCTCTCTCCCTGTCCCTGTCCCTCCCCATCCCCCTCTCCCTTTCCCCGTCTTCCTCTCCTAGTTCACTGTCTCTCCCTCTCCCTCTCCGTTTTCTCTCCCTCTCCCTCTCTCTCCCTCTCCCTCTCCCTCCCTCTCTCTCTCAGCTTAACGGTTCTCTCTATTCTTACTCGATTTTATCTCGTTTTCTCGACTTTGTTCCCTTGCTTATTTAATTTTCCTCACTTTTCTTTCATCGCCGAATGAAAATTATAATTATGTTTTGTTCAGAATAGTTTCCTGTGTTCTTTACTTTTACTGTTTTTTTCTCTTCTTTATCTTTCACGACTCTTCACTAACACGCAAGCACGCACACACACACACACACACACACACACACACACACACACACACACACACACACACACACACACACACACACACACACACACACGCCCACACTCACGCACGCACACACACATTCAACAAATGTAATAAGTCTCTCCTCCCCCACGTCCTCCTCCCCCTCCTCCTCCTCCTCCTCCCCTCCCTCCCTTCTCCTCTCTCTCCCCCCCCCTCCCCCCTCCTCCCCCCCCCCCTTCCCTTGTTTAAAAACGAGAGGCTTCTTGGAACGGCAACTTCTTGATACACTTCTCGGCCAACTTCCTTTGCATCAGCCCAAGAAGTTTCCGCAGGTTTTCTTGAGACGATGTTCATCTTTGCGCTGTTGGGGGCGGGGGGGGGGAGTGGGAGGGGAAGGAGAGTGGGAGTGGGAGTGGGGGAGGGAGGAGAAGGAGGAGGATGTAATAGGAAGGGAAGGGCGGGGGGAGGAGGAGGAGGAGGATGTAGGAGGAAGAGGAGGAGGAGGATGTAGGGGGAGGAGGGGGAGGGGGAGGGGGGAGGAGGAGGAGGGGGAGGGGGAGGAGGGGGAGGGAGGAAGATGTAGGAGGAGGAAAATGTAGGAGGAAGGGAAGGGAAGGGAGGGCGAGGAGGGAGGAGGAGGAGGAAGAGAAGAAGGAGAGGGAGGAGGAGGAAGAGGAAGAGCAAGAGAAAGATGAAAATGGAAAGGAAGAGGAGGAAAAGGAAAAGAATAAGTTAGGGAGGGACAAGGAGAAGGGAAGAAAGAGGCGGAGGAGAAGAAAGGGAAGAAGGCAAGAATAAGGAAAATGGGGAGAGGAAAAGAAAGAGGGAGAAAGAAAGGAGGAGAAGAAATAGGAAGAAAGAAAGAGAGAGAAAGAAAGGAGCAGAAGAAAGAGGGAGAAAGAAAAGACAAGAAAGAGGGACAAAGAAAAGGGGAGAAAGAAAAGGCAAGAAAGAGGGGAAAAGAAAGAAGGAGAAGAAAGAGGGAGAAATAAAAGAGAAGAAAGAGAGAGAGAAAAAAAAGAAAGGGGGGGGAAACAGGGGGGGGGGGGAATGTATGGTGGGATTTTTTTTTCTTTTTTTTTCTTTTTTTTTGCCTTTTACAAATCCTCCGGCCTTCCTTTCGTCTCGCATACTGGCCTAATCGCCCTAACTGAATCGGTGGCATATTATCTCTCTCTCTCCTTTGTCTCTTCCTTTTATCTCCCTCTCTTTCTCTCTCTGGCTTTGTCTTTCCTTTTATTTTCATTCCCCTTTTCTGTTTCGTTGTAGGCGCCTGGCGTTCTCTACTTCTCTCTATCTCTCTCCCACCCTCTCTATTTATGCATCTATCTGTCTGTCTCTTTGTCTCTGTCTCTGTCTCTGTCTGTCTCTCTCTCTCATTCTCCCTAATTCATATATACATTTACATACATTCTGACATACATACATACATACATACATACACATATATATATATGTATTTATATATAGAAATATATACATATATATATATATATATATATATATATATATATATATATATATATATATATATACATATATATACATATATACATATATATATATATATATATATATATATATATATATATATATATATATATATATATATACATATATATATATATATATATATATATATACATATATATATATATATATATATATATACATATATATATATATATATATATATATATATATATATATATATATATATATATATATATATATATATAATATATATGTACATACATATATATTTATATATATATATATACATATATATATATATATATATATATATATATATATATATATATATATATATATATATATATATATATATATATTATAAGCATATAAACATAGCTAGCTTGCTAGATAGATCACTAGATAGGTAGGTAAGATAGATAGATAGATAGATAGATAGATAAATAGACAGATAGATAGATAGAAAGATAGAC